TCTCCCCCCCCCGCCCCCCCCCCTTCCCTTTGAGATATTAATTTAGGCGTCAAATTCCCATCTGACCATGCGTGTGGCATAGAGGCGCATGGGCGCCGAATTTGAGCTTACGAAATTACACATGGTTAGGAGACGCCCTGAAAATTTCAGCTTTCTGATTCTTGAGCTGGAAATCTCGGATAAAACGCATACAAAACACAGACACAGACACACAGACACACACACACACACACACACACACACGCAAATTGAGTCTCAACGGTATTCGTCCTCTGCAACTAACACACAAGAAGCAAAGATATAAATACAGGTATGAGGAGAAATAAGAAAGTTATAATATTTGATATCTTGGAAATTATGCTAGTAAGGAAAATAATGATTACAAACTTTTTTTTACCTTTCCCATTTTTTCTGTTTTTCTGTCTTTTTTTTTTGGTTAATAAACGAGACAGTGATACTAATGGCTTAATTAGTTCCATAGTCTTTTTGTTGTATTAGATAGTGATTTGTCAGGAATCTTATTATTTGTTGTCAATGAATAGATTCGGACGATTTTTGAATTGATTATTTGATGGGTTGAAAATTCAGTGATTAATCTATAACCTTTTTATATATTATTAAAAATTTGCATTATATGTGTATTTAAACATTCGGGATTTACATGGTTAAAGATTTAAGTCTGAATCTTTTCTGGATTTGTGGAGGGATTTTAGGACGCATTGCATGCCTTGTGGCCTTTAAAAAAGAGTTTGTGCTTCGATGCATGCTGCTTCAATGTATTTTGCTTCCTTAATGAATGCAAATGTGATCTCCAGAACTTTATTAACAAAAAATTCACTTAGGCGCGATTTCTTTTCAAAATCAACCTTGGGTCAGATGAGAGGGGCGTAAGGCAGGACAGTTCCTTGTCTTCCTGCCTCATGGCTTTTCACGAAATCGTCAGCTGATGCATTCCTTATACGCTAGCTTGCCCGAAAGGACGACATACGCTAATCTGCCTATGCGGCTTGTCTGACAGCCGATAGCAGTGCTCTCTGGAATGCTTGCTTGCTTGTGCTTGCATAATATCTTTCTCTTTGCTCTAGTCGTTCGCAGAACCGTGTCTGGAAGTGGATGGACGCTCGTCGTCTCGGTAGAATATCCAGCAGTAGCGCTGCGGCTGCGGCACTTGTGCTCGTCAAGCCTTTCTACAAACCTTTGCAACGGCGGCCCCGATCGTCCACTTCACCAATGACATCTACATCAATGTCGTCACCGCAACCTGGTACTGTCACAGCTACGACTACTGCAATGTCCGCCGAAGGCACTTGCGTTGCTGTTCCTGCTGAAGACGGTGATGGTTGTGCTGGTGATGCTGCTATTGAAAGTGGTGATATTGCTGCTGATAGCGACGATTTAAATGGAACTACAGAAAGGTTCTTGGTTTTGTGCAATTTTTCCTGCATTTTCACTTGTTTAGGTAAACAGAAGGGCGGTATTCACCCAATTCTCTTTAAATAAACGCTTAATACTAACTGGCTAATCGATAGACTGACATATCAGGTGGTGCGATGAATGACCTATGAAGAGTTAAGAAATGGTTTTCTAACTAGTGGAAATGAAAGTTGTGTCATTTGCTAAAATTCCTCCTCCTCTTCTTAATCGATTTAACCTGATATGTAGTTTCAAGGTCGTTTTGAGGATTCTCGACTCCCTTCCCTGGTCTGCAGATGGTTGGTCGTGATCGTGTCTGCTGATATTCAGTAACAACTTTCCCGAACTGCTCTTGGCTGGAACAGATCCACATCCAGTCTTATGTCTGTCAATTCAGCAAAGGCTGTTATCCTATATTTGCTGAGAATGACATTCGATAAATGTGTCACTATCGGTCAAATGCATGCTTGTCTTTCGGGCGGTTCGTTTCGTCTTTTGCCCTTCACATGCTTGTATTGATGACTTTGAACTGGGGCAATACACATGTGCTTTTATCTGACCTGAGGGTATTATGCTGACTGCCACACTGTTGCATGCGTTTAGTGATACGTGGATTTATGAGGCTTCTGTTTTGTTTCCATCTCCAATTATCTTTTGCATAGCTCGTTGAGTCGCCGCAGATTTTTGCTTCCCAGCATGAGGTGTTGTTTCATCCTTGCCTACCTCATCGGTGGCGACATGAAATGTGACGATAGAACGACAATTGAACAAGTATCATAAAGACGCGTTGTGCGTCCCTGATTTCCGGTTTCTCTCCTCTTTTAACTCAACTTTAAAATCTGCTGCGTTGATATTTTTTACGAAGTTTTTATAAAAAAAATTGAAATCTGAAGGAAAAAAGACCATATGGATTTAGTAATTCTAGAAAGCCTTGTTTTTCTGGATGTATTTCAAACATAACTCCAGCTGGCATCTTTGTATTCATGTTCATTCACAGATTAATCTGCTGCTTTATACTCTTGTACAGCCTTAGTTTATTGTGTACCAAAACATATAATCACTGCGACAGCTTCTTTATGAGCTCGGATGGGATAAATGCTTTGTCTTTTCATGTTCATTTAACACCGTGTGAGTACCACTTAATAATTCGATTTGTCGTTGTCGCTCACCTTCGCCACATCCATCTCTTTTCCACTTTATCGTGGTAGTTTTTAAACTTACTCAATGGATAGTAATATGTTTCTAAATCGCTGTTGAAAATGCTCGGTGGTCAGGGGAAAATGGAGTCTCATA